CCGCACTTCAACTTTATTAGCGCTTTTTATTGATAGAATTGATAATGAACTTTACTTTTGTAGATTTGCTAAATAAATTCAAGCAGTTTCCACAACATTTCAGTTAACTTCATTAAGTGCAGTCACAAATCTCTCTGTTCTTTATGTTTCAATCGGTTCTGAATTGTTCTGGCTTACAGCAACTATATACATAATTCTATCACAAAATATATAGGGATATCCAAAGAATTTTGCGTAGATATTTGAAACTGATGCATTTTGCACACTTTTCTAGCAACTTCTATACGACCTAAAGCAGAAATACAGATTGTTCAGAACCCAACTTTATTAGAAACCTCTTAATTGGCTTAGTTTTACTTTAATATGAACACCACCTTCAACACCACAACAAGTCAACAATAAGGCATTTTTGAACGGAAGCTGCGTGGGTCAAGTTCAATCATAAAAGTAATGAGAAAAAGTGGCTTCAAACATAGCATCTTAATTGGCTTTCAAATGGTTGAATCGTCTTCGGTTGTGAGCTACAAGTATGTTGGAAAAAATAAGAATGGAATCAATTCGATTGAAGAAGATTTATATTCAATTTAGCAATGGTTTATTTCAATTTTAGAATCGCATTGACTGAACCTGCCAGTAAGTAAAATTAAAACATACTTAATAAGTAGAATAATTCAACATGATACTTAGACGTTATTAATATTGTTGCTTTCTGTACATAAAAAACCATCAAGCAGTCTCATTCCCACATTTTTAAAAGTTCTGCTCGTTTTCATTTTTCTTTCCGGTTTTCAGAATTTAACTAGACTATAGATTATAGGTACCTGCTACTATAAAAATGACCGATTTCACCCAAAAATACTTAGGAATCCACTAAAACATCAAAGATAATGAATGAAAATAACGCAAACATGTTTCCACTCCGTTTTCTTGATCTAACTCCATTTGCTCGATTGGTGGCACGAGAAAAAATATGTTAATCTAAATTTTTTTTGGTTTCCAAAGTAATATTCTTCATCTGAATCTTTAACACCGGTCCTGGTCAGCTAAATTGACCGACCAGAGCCGGTTATTTGATTTGCAAGAGGAACAGAGACGAACATGAATGGGGCCAGATATTTTCGTTGGTCCGGATTGTGCCAAGAACATGAGAACATGTCGATATGTTGTCTCGAATAGTTTTCAACTGCGACGCCCACCGCAACTTCACTGTGGGTTAAAAGAGGGCGATGTAAACGTGATCAATTCATGAAAAACTGAAAAAGGCAAATTAAAATACAATATAACTAAATAATTAATAATAATTAGCATGATAAAAAAACAAAAAAAGTGTATATTTAGATTGAGTATGTTGAAAACATTTAATTACATATGTATTTAAATCTACTCTAAACTTAAGAGTATTAAGGGAAAATAAATCGTTACAAGGAAACGATTTCATCATTACCACTTACAAACGTGCTAAAAGAATGCGCTAATAGTTTGCGCTCTTCTGCACAGCGTCTGTGGATGATTGTCGCAGATACAATCGAAACGTTACGTAGAAATAGCGCTGAAAAAGTACCTGTGACAATTAAAAGCCGGTTTTAAACATTTCCATAGAACCAAGTGGTAATTAATATTAATGGCTTTTCTCGAAGTTCACGTTCTTACAGGTAATGCAAAGACATTGACTAATTGTCAGATTTGAAATTTCCTTAATGATCCTAATAATTTATTTATTTTTAAAGGATTTTAGTGGAGATTAATGGAAGTTTCGTGATATGCATTCTGAGTAAGTACAGTTGAAATACATTTTGTACAAATTTATTAGATTTTCATTCTAAAATTTTTCTTGGCTGCTGTCCTACAAGTGAAAACCGAGAAAACAGAGCCCTACAAATAAATTTACTCAATAAAAAACTATTTTGTACATGTGAGGTAAGCCTACAAATTAATGCATTTCCTAATATACTCATACATGTTTACAAGCTCTTCAGTTTGCAATTTTCTGTTACCCAGATTAGTTTTCAATAGAATCTCTGATAGTAACCCAACTAATCAGGCTATCAATTGATGTTGTTATTTATTTAATCCAAAATTGCATTTTTATTGCTTTTATTGCCGATTTTATTTTTCATACACGATAATCCTCGACAATTTTGTTGCTCAGATTTGATTTGAGGACACTTAATTTTTCAGTTCTGGCAGCTCCTTTGTTTAACTGAACAATGGCAGAGAATCAAACAAAATTCACGTAAGTATATATAATTTTTAATAAATAGGAAACATAAAAAGCGACATAATTTGATTTAAACTCGAATAAAAATAGTATCTCTAAGTGTCACACTGAGTACTTAATACTAATTCGAAAGACAAAGTTAGGAAGTAAAATTACATAATTATAAAAAATAAAATTCAAATACTTTTAGGTTGCTTCCTAAAATTTTAAATGGAGGCATAGCAGGAATCGTGGGAGTTGCATGCACTTTTCCTTTGGACTTGGTAAAAACTCGGCTTCAAAAGCAAACCGTGGGACCGGGCGGAAGAAAACTGTATAACAGTATGTAAGAAAAACAGATTTTTAAGAACAAGCCCAATTCCACGTAGTTTTCCACTCTCAAATTTTACGTCGGTTTTGTTCTTGTTTGTTTATTTTTGCCTAAGTGCATAATAATATGTAGTTTCATTTCATTTATCTTACTTACTTTGAGCGGTTTGTTAGGCTTGTAAACTGTCCATATCGCTACTCTCAGATGGTTTCAACTGATTGATATTAAGAGCTTCTTCGGTGAACTATAATTGAGCATTTTTAAATTCGTCGAAATATTTTAACAGATTTGACGCTTTTTCAAAAATATATGTAAGCGAAGGTTTACGAGGAATGTACAGAGGTGCTGGAGTTTTAATACTCTTAGTAACGCCTGAAAAGGCTGTCAAGCTAGCTGCTAATGATTATTTCAGATTCCACTTGAAAGACGAAAACAAGTAAGTTTGAATGAAGATGCGGATAATGAAAAAACTGAAATTTTGTACTTTTCTAGCAAAATATCTGGATTTCGGCAGGGATTAGCGGGTGCCTTAACCGGTGTAGTCCATGTCTTTGTTACGACTCCAATGGAACTTTTAAAAATCCAGCTGCAAGATGCTGGCCGAGTTGCAGCAATAGAAGGGAAAATTGGTAGGGAAAAATACGAAATTGTATAAATGTTACCTATTTGTTACTTACTCTTTTCCTTATCTGAAAGTCGTCTGAATGATCAGAAAATGAAAAAGGTTTCGTTTTGGGCTTGATATTGGATTTGCCCAATAAATGTTGAAAAATTTAAATGTAAAGTTTAGAAAGTAATTCTTCATCCTCCATCTGTAGCTTCGTTCTTTTAGATCCAACAGGAGGCAAAAGCATGATTCCAACGATATCAGCCACTAAAATCACCACAGATATAATTAAGAACAAAGGTATAAGAGGGCTTTATAAAGGCCTGGTTGCAACCTGGGCTCGAGATATACCTTTCTGCATGGTGTATTTTCCATTGTTCGCTAAAATCGATTCTTTAGGGCCGAGAAAAGCGAATGAATCAGGTAAAACATATACCCCATTATGTTAACAATATTTTATGATAAAAATCCTATTGATTTTGTATCATATTATTCAATGTTTAGCTAAACAGATAAAATGAAAACTACATATAGACGTGTGAGATCTAAACTTTCAGACTTATTTTTAAATTAAAGACAACATTCAGTGTGCCACAGGTTTACGGTTCCACGGAGAAAAATGTTGCAAAGCTTAATACTTAAACTTAGATCTGAGAGAAAACTGAAAACTTAAAAACCTTAAACTTTAAACTGTGAGAAATTAAGTTCTAGAGCGCTGAAAATCTCAACATAAAGTTCCGGATTTTGCATCAGTGCGTGTGGTTTCAAGAATCGCCATCGGCCTATCGTTTAGTTCTAAGAAAAATGGATTAAAAATGACAACAGATCTAACAAAGAAAAAAATATTCGGATGAATCTTTTTCCAATCAATTCTTAAATCTTGATCAGTTAATGATTTCAAGAATTCCATGTGAAATAATTTTTATTTTTCTAGGAGATGCAAAATTTTATTGGTCTTTCTTGGGTGGATTGGCTGCAGGTGCGACCAGTGCTTTCATAATGACTCCTTTCGACGTTATGAAAACTCGAATACAATCAGTCACTAAATCTGCCCAAGGCGATAAAACATATAGCGGTGTTTGGGATGCATTTAGGTCAGTAACGATTATTTGACTGCAATCGAACAKTTTGGCAAACATATTTACCACCACAATACCCACAACGATAAATATATACAGCTATCAGTTTAGAAGATCAGTTTTCGAATCATCAGTGATTAATCTAAGTCGATACCTAGTTTTCTGCGATTTATCTTTTAGGGCTTTTTATCAGTATCATATCTTCTAGGTATTCTATATCAGTCTTTTTGATCTCGGCGCTCTTAACATAACGCCCTCTAAGTTTTTATTTTGATGTATTTATTTGAAAACAATTTATTCTGAAAATATAAATGAAATTTAGCAAACGTCTAGAGTTTATAAACTGAATTCCCGATTACCAAATTGAGAATAAAACAACATAAATTACCCTAAATTTATCATTTTAAATCTTCTGCTAAATTAATCTTCTCACTTAATCGCAAATATAATATAGTGAGTTTTGAGTTTTACTAAATAAATTAAACCATTAAAAGGGCGAATTCACTACAGTTCTTTTAATTCATCGCTTTTACTACCCTTAATTAATTTTCCTTGGTAGCGCCTAATTGCTGCGAGTTATCTTAGCATTTTTCTATTTAGCAATTATTATGGAACACATATATATTTACCTGTTTTATCCCATGTGTATAATTCTGTGTACGTTTATCATCAAAATACTGTTTAATTATGGTTTAATTGGCTTTTACTTTACTGTTTAAACAATGTTCTTAAGAACAGATTTTTCGTTCTAAATTAATAGAAATCTAAAAGTAAAAGGACTAAAATGGAAAAAACACTAATTTTAGTTTGGTTCCTAATCTGTACACATATTAGTTAGCACATAATTGTAATTGACGATTTTTTGTAGAGATATCCTGAAAAATGAAGGCATTACAGCGTTTTTCAAAGGTGGAGCATGCCGAATTATTGTTATTGCGCCCTTATATGCCATTGTACAAGGAGTCTATTTTATGGGAGTAGCAGAAAAGCTTCTCGGTATTGAAAAAGATTCAAAAATTACAAAAAAATCATAGAAATAAATAACAGAATAAAAAATCACTTAAGTATATAGTTTTCTTTCACTTTCAAATAGATGTTATGGATATCAATATATTTTATGCACATAGTTTGGATAGTTAATCATCATTTTTCAATCCAAAAAAGATTACTATAACAGCATTTATAAAAAAGGCGATTGAGAATAAATTTATCACCTAATTATAAATAAAAGAGAAAAGGAATTAATACATTTTATTTATTTTCTTTCCAAATCACATCTCCTTTTACTTTAGAGCCTCTAATTATACTTAGTTATCTGGATTATAAACATATTTGTCTTTATGCAATTCATATCTTTTATGTGTTTTTTTTTTCAAGAAAATGGCTCAAAATGAGCTGAAATTAAACTGAATTTAAATACACAATAATGTTGATACTCATTGGGAAATACTACCCAAAGCTGACTACATTTTCCAATTAATACGAGAACTAAGTTAATAGTAGAAGGAAGGAAACCCTCACCTTGCAGAATGTGGAAAGAAATATCACCGGAAGTAACTTGGAAGTTAGCGAATGATGAAATTAAAAAGATTTTTTTCTTTATTTCTTGCGTTCATACATTTAATAGCGACAGTGTGATATATACCTAGCAACAACAAATTTAAAACATGTTAGAAGAATTATCAAATTATACTTTTTGGGAAAAAAATAATTTGAGCTGAAAGTGAAAATGTTCTGTTTTGAGGAATATGATGGTAAAAAAGTTAAAAAAACTTCACGTAAGATCAGGATTTATGAATGTTTTCCTGAACTCGCATCATTGAAAGCGATGGAATAATTAACTTGATCTTCACACGAGCTCTGGCATCCTCTTTTGCCAGATTGTTAAAAACGCTTTCAAATTCTGAACTTTAGTTTGAATTTCGTAAAGTGAATGATGAATGAGGAAATTTACTTTTAGTAAGAAGTGGAAATTTTTCACAACTGATGTCTCATATAAGAAATACGCAGTTTAAGGCTCTATCCCTAGATGACAACTAGAACTTCATTACTCACCTCGTTCTCTAACAATGAACCCGAAACTAACAGCGTTTTTGAAAATCCGCAGTAATTTCGGATTACTGTTCTTTGCATGAAAACTAAAAATATATGTAGAATAATGTTTCATATGAGCCGTTTTCCTTGTAAGTGGTGTTTTGCATTTGAATAATTAAAAAAATATGGATACATACATACATTATTACACTCATTTGTAATTTTGTATTTTTAAATATTAAATTGATCTCAATTAATAATGTAACCTTTTTCAAATTGTGATTAACAAAAATTTATAATTTTAATAACATCGAAAGAACTTGCTCCACTTTGAAAGTCAGCAGAAAGCAAAAATTTTACATTTACAAAATATTAAGATCGGGATATTAATTGACACAAACCAATTTCTTTTTATAAAATGTTTATTAAATAGCGCAACAATAAAAAAATGAAAACTAACCAAATAGGAAGACTTTAGTTCAGTTATTTACACTCTTACAACATTTTCAAAGTAATTATTTATTATTTGTAACTTCATTAACTGCGAAAATTTGTAATGATATAGGTAAACAATTCAACACACTTTGGGAAAAGTTTTTAAATGAAAAGTTGATAGTAAAGTGTATTAATTTTTATCGTTAACTATTTTTTTTTGTCAAAATGGACTGACACTACTTTAAGAGAAAACAGCTAAAATAGGAGCACTATTTAAAAACACCCCATAAAGGAACAAATCAGAAAAAGATATCATACTTACAGTAGGATTCTATTAATTCTAAAAATGTTTCATTGGGATTGATCGGTTTTGCTGTTTAAAAACAATAAAGTTGCCTCCTTTTAAGTCATTAAAATATATTTATGAAAAAATACATGTTATGTGACAATATTTTACGGCTCCGAAACAAAGGTATTCCCATTTTTCACGCCATTTCTATTTTCTAGTTGTCCCTAAAAATTATTTAAGGTTAATTTAGCAGTCGTAATATTGGGTTTTCAATTATGAAGAAAATATTGACCAAATCGAACGTGGCTCTATATTAATATGTACATTTGGCAGCAAGATTTTCTGTTAAAATTCATACAAACTTTAAAATTAAATATCCAAAATCAAAGTTTCAAAAGAGGCTCAAAAATTATGTTTAGCCTTCCAAGTCAAATGTAAACTAAACCGTGCTTATATTGAGATTGCAAGCTGAAAGGTTTTACAGTCCAAAACAATTAGAAAATATCACAAATGTGAGAGATTTAAAAATACTTACCGTTGTAGGCGTGTAAGCGTAAATTATTTCATCGCCCATTGTTTCGTTTGGATATTTTCTAGGTTTGATCCATCGCCTCAGGAACGGGGCCAATAATTTTGGGTCTACATCTCTAGGATCGTTGGGTTTGGAAAAAAAACTTATTGTCACGCCCACTATAATAGCCACCAAGGTCCCCATAAGCGTGTACCATAGATAGGATAGCCGGTATATCATGAATTGTTCACTGAAAGCAACAAGTCATGTTGATAATTTGATTGAAAACTGGGATTTTTAATTCTCTCGTCACTAATTGAATAAAATGACCAAGTTTTAAAAAT